GTGCCTCGAAAAAGAAGGAGTGAGTAGGCTTCCGCCGCTAAAAAATTGCTACAAGAAAGCCAGTTACTCAAGGAAAAAAATTGAACGCCTCTTCTGGAGGCAAAAACTGATATTCGAGTGCATTTCATTTCTTTAAGAGTGTTTGAATATTTAGCAATACAATGCAATTTTTCATGTTGCTCAAAAACACCCACATATGTTATATATTTATTGTTACTCACGAGCGTCTTTCCGTTTTTAATACCAAAATGGATTACAAGGAAAATGATCTTTTGGAAGGCAACACTAAAATCACTCCAAATTCTTTTTATAGGAACTCTGGCCCAACCCTTCATAGACTACTAAATTTAATTTTCAATAACCACTTCAGTTGTCTGAGTGTGGCAGTGCTGAAGACTTGCACGTACTATACAGTAGTCAAATATCATACGTTTTATTTTATAACAGTACTTATCAAACTACTTAAAAACAATATCTTTAAAAATATACACCAGATCAGGTCACGTACCTGCCGTTTAGCGCAATTAACTTTAATGCCCTTGTGGGCAGTACAAGTTACAAGTAGAACTACTGATGAGAACCAGTGCATTTTCCCACTAGACACCAGCGAACTCTCAGAGGAGGAAGGGATAGGCTGGAAGTAGGGAGGGAAGGTGAAGGGAGGGGGGAAGGGTGGGGACTTGTGATAGGGTAGGGACTTGTGATTGACGAGCTTCTAATTTCAGGACGAGTACTTCCGAATATTATCGAGTTCATTTGTATGTTTTTCAGTCAGCTTTATTTTTGAGGTAATTCGGTCCAACATGACGGCTCGTATATCGGGTGTTGAGGTTAAACTAATCCTAAACTGATCCAATGAGGAAGGGGTTTTTTAAGTGCATGCTCTTTTCTATAGCCGTCCATTATTTTCAAGTGCAGTTTTTTAAGAGTCCATTTACTGAAGAGTCAGCTTGTATTCAAAACGTGTACCTAATAAATATACAAAGTGCATTTAAAAATGAAAACAATGACGGGTTGTTTTCAGCAATCATGTGCCTAAACTCACGTTCGCAAGAAGTTCCTTGACATAAACACAGAAAGTAGAGGCATGAGAGAAAATCATTGCGAAGCAAAGTTTTGTCTTGACAAAAGGACTGATAATGCATGAGGAAAGACTATTTGAGCTCTACTCAAGCACTCTGAGACAAAACTATTACTTTGAAATATAGTTCATGAATATCGTGAGAAAGTTTGGTCAAGAATAACAGAGTCAACAAAACATGTCCTCTCGTACATCACAATGGGGCAAGCGTTGATCTGCTTCACTTTTCTTATGATCCTTGAGGATTCTTGGCGCGTTGATGAAACATAAAAGTTTATCTATTTTATAGCAAACGGAAGTTGAAGAAGAAGCTCTGATATATATTTAGCAGCCAGGCCCCAATTTTCGTTTAAACTTACGTCAGACTGAGACAAATCTGAACTATTGATAACAATCGAAACAATGTGTTCTTTAAAGGAAAACAAATAATCGCAGCTAAAATTGGCTCTGACGAAGGGCTAATGCTCGATATGTCAGCTGTAACAATCCTTACGGTGGCCAATATACATCCTCAACTCAATTGATAAAACCAAATCGTCTTATAATATCTCCCCTCCTCCCCCAACGACGCAAAACCAGAGCTTCTTTAAAAACTTACCCCCTTTATTCATCGAAGTTATACCTAAAAGTGTTTGTGAAAATTGACGCAGAAAAGGTTGCGTCTCCAGGATGTATGATGTTTCTCATTTCTGCTGAAATCTTCATTACTCAGTTAAAATATAGGACTTAGATATATTCCCTTAACCCCTTAACTCCCAAGATCTCATTAGAAATTCTCCTTACTGTCTGCCATATACTTCTTGTGATGCTAGTTTGGAGAATTTGGTATTTGTTCAACTAATAATCCCCTAATTAATATTTTTCTTTATTCTCATCACTTGTCTGCTTGATATCGTATTGATATTGTAAGGAGAAATTCTGTCTTGATCACTCATGGGAGTTTAAGGGTTAAATGCAAAGTGTTACTGTCGTATTATTCTTGTCTAAAAATTCATGCCAGCAATCGTTCAAAAGTCTTTTATTGTCGCTAGAAAGCCTTGATTATTCATCGCTTTGAAGCTATATACAATCAGTTTCATCGTTTGTCTTTTTAATAACTTATAACAAAGATCGCGAAGTTTCAACTGCATCTAATCACTTCGTGAGTGTCATTTTATTTGCCATCATTCACCGCTGTGATTGGTTAGTTTTCAATCTCTCCCAAAGACGGAAACGGTGGGGCCTATCGCACGACTTTGTCGTTCAAGTTGGGTTTCTTGATCTTCGGTTAAAAGTAAACGTAATTTTTAATCAGTGACGAAAAAGACTGTGCCTTGTATCTGATGTACACTTGTGTAGTGCCTAAGGGTCTAAGCCAAGATGAACTTCTGTGTAATCCATCAAAGCTCTGTCTCCATGTTCGCCCTTGCGAGGAGACACCAGAATTGAAGCGACAGAAATGGAAGATCCTTTTGTTGGCGGTGTAAAAATGACAATCCACGAGTAGCAATAGACGACTGGTTTTTATTGTTTCGATTTTAAGTGCGAAATTGCCTTTCCGTAAACTACCAAAATTATTTAATAGAGCAAGGAATCTGATCACAATTGATTCATTTGACCTTTCACGTTAAGTGTTCCCTATTTCCTTTACATTGCCGTGCCGCAGATTTCCAAATTTTCCCGCAAGAACGCAGGGTAAATTTGCGGGAACGCACAATTGCGAGAAAAATGTGAGGGACGCGCAATTTTATTTTTCTCGAAAATTCCTTGGATATCACATTATCATTAGTTTTTAGTGGTTTGCATCTCACACGTTGTTAAGATTTTGAAGTAAAGAACGGAGAGCAAGTGGACGTGATCAAAACATATTTGCCATAAATACATAAAATAGTTTTGCTGATGAATGTTTTTCTGCGGTCGGTATACCTGTGGTCTATTGATTGGCTTCGTAACTCCGCGATAGTTTACCCTGTGAAAACAGTGTCTGAGATTGGCGAGCAGTATTGACCTACACTAGCTAGTGTTTGGAGTTGGAGTATTTTTCACCTCGTTTAATTTGGTGAACAGACTACCTTAGAATGATATAGAGCCAAAGCGGTACTTTTGCTCTGAGATATTGTGACAACTGAATGAATAAACTGAAGGCTAGGATATCATAATTGTTCATTGTTCGTTTTAACCTTTAAAAGGTGCGTCTTTCCGTAAGAATGATGATTCTGCTATGGAAGTATTTTGAGGAGTCCATGGGTTAACCTCGCACAAGTTTGGAACCGAAGTCAACTTCGGCTTTTTTTTTTAACAAGTCATGGACCTCTCAGCACCATAAAAAATTCAGCGGGAAATGATAAAATTTTCCAACCGGTAGAATACTGCTTGTAAGACATCGCCGCGTGACTCAATACCTTGGCCCAATCTGTACATCCCACCACTTGCCAGGTCTACTCTTTCGTTCACCGCCCTCAAAGGACTTCACTAATATGGCAGCCTGCGTCTGCCGTCAAAGGGATTGCCTGAAACAGTTTTAAAACTTTCCTGAGTAATTCAACAGATAACCAATCAAGAACGCCACAAAACGCATTTAACTTTAAGATATTTAAAAACCCTTTAACCCAAGATCTGATGTTAATTCTTCCTTCTTGTAGGTGCAACTCATCTCCTTTTAAATTAGCTTAGAGAGTTTGTTGTTAGATCAAGAAAGCAACTTCTTCCTGATAAGTTAGAGTATTCCCATAATTTTCTGGATAATGTATGGATTTTGTGGGGAGAAGTGACAGGTATATGCCTCTAGGAGTCGGAGGGTTAAGCCACTGTACCTGCATGTTACATCTAGCCCATTTCAAGAGTACCGAAGCACTGTATCTTAATCATGCTTTTCAAAAAAAAAATAAGACAGAGAGGACGCTAGAGACAAAAATCGCTAAACTGACTGTGAATGACAGTCGCTATGAAAAACCGTTTTCTTCTGACCGCAAGTGCTGGCATTTGTGTACCCCCAAGGTCTAATTACTTGTTTTCATAGCCGGCTATATAATTTGCAACGTCAGCTACTACATACCAGACCTTGAAAAGCATAGCTACCGGACCTGAGCAAAACGCTTCTTGTGGTAATGATCTACCTCCCAGCTTATGTTTTCCATATGGTTCCTAGTTATTTTCAGTCAGCATCTGATTAGCGGGTGGGGAGTTCCTTTCAGTGGAAATAGTGTCTAATCATATATTTAGGTAGAACGCAGTGTTTTATCGCCTATAATACAGCATTGATGGACAATTTTGCTCAGTTTTAGCTCTCGAGAGGGAAGCAAACCTTTTGCGGCTCTCGTTGAGTTTATCATTATCATTAATATTATGACTGTGACCATAATTATTTTTTATAAAATATAATCGCTATTTCTATCATTATGAAGATTACGATTTACTCTTTCGTTTTGGTTACCTTTGTGGATTTGCCATTGACACGACACCCAATTTAGTCTTTTCAGTATTTGTTTCAACGTGTTTGCCAATAATGAGAATAACAGTGACCAGAATAAATTTCTCTTCCAGTAATAGAACCCCTGCTGGAGTATAAACAAATTCTTCAACCACGCACATCGTAAGAAATTTCGCAACGGGAACCTAGCTTATTGACGAAACTGATGAAATAAATCAGATGAACAGCTGACGCTCGCTTGACGTATTTTCGGTTTTGGAGCAAGGTCTATGTTCCTTCCATAAGAAGTCTACCGACCTAGTTGCAGGACGACCCGGACTAGAGTGTTTCATTTTTCTTAATAAATAAAGAAGGTTATCTCTAGACCGTGACAGCTGGGAGAAATGGGCATATTCACTTCTTGGCACAGAAAGGTGAAGTGGTAGTTCTGGAAGCTATTTTGCTCTACCCTTGTAACCTTAATTATTTCTACGTGTACAGCTGTCAAATGGATAGGAAAAATACGCTTTATAAAGGAAATAAAAACATATTTCTTTTATTTACATCCAACAATGTGGTTGTCTTCCTTCTCACCAAATTATGCGACATTTCAAGTCGTGTACAAAAATTGTAAAATATTATAAATTATCTATTTTGTTTTCTCTGACAATTTATAAAGATCTCCGCATAAGCAAATATACAATATTATTTATAAAACGTTTCTTGTGTCATAAATATTTTATGCAGTTTGCATTCCTCTTAAAATATACAGTCACTGTTTCCTTTCGAACATCAACGTAAATGTAATGGACTAACTTGAACATTACCTAACTGACTGTTATTTGATATTTACAGAAACTGTACATAAGAATCTGTTTCAAACATACCATGCCCAGGTGTATTTGAAAAGAAGGCTTTCTGTAACAAAACTAGCAGTATCACCCTAATATTGGGTGGCTGCAACTCAAGGAAGTGTGTTCTGATTTTTTTTTTAATAAAAGATTTATCATGGTCCCTACATTTGGTCTTAAGATTTTTGTTCAGAAACGAATTACAAGCTTCTGTCTTTTTTCTTCTATAAATAAATAGCACTTTGGTTGACAAAATTATTCCTCTAAGGAATGTCGAAATCCTCTTCTGCAAATTCGAAGCAGAAAAAGTCATTTTATCTATGAAGTTCCTTTATTTTCACGTAGATTCTAAGCGTAGTATGTCATTCCGGCGCCAAGCGGAGGTCCATACATGGGTCTTGACTGTGGGTAAGCGGGTGGTGCTCGTGCCCAGTAAGACATTGGGTAGCAGCTGTTAGCGGCTGGGTGGGAGAACAACGATGAAGCGGTGGGGAAGCCAGCGTAAAAGTCAGAACCTGGGAATTTGTAGGCGGCTTGTGCATGTGCTTGAGCGTCTGAGGTAATTGGCTGATTGAGTTGAGCCAATCCCTGAAAGTCGAACTTGTAAGCGTATCTCTTGCCATGGATCTTCGTCATGATGTTTTTGTCGTAGTAGTATCGCAGAGCTCGGCTTAGCTTGTCGTAATTCATGTTCGGTTTGTTCTTACGCTCGCCCCATTTTCGGGCAACCTCGTCCGGATCTACGAGCTTGAATTCACCATTCGCGCCTTCCCAAGCGATACAAGTCGAGTTCTTCGGGTCCGACAGGAGTTCGAGAAGGAACTGCCATAACTGAATCTGACCGCTACCCGTACTTGCGGGTTCGGCGCGGTTTCCAACGCTGGCATTAGAGAAAGAGCTCTGGAGTGACTGCGATTCTGGTACAGACAATGGTCTGGATGGAACAACGCTGTCTTTCATGTGCGACAGTCTTGCTGTTGAGGATGGTGTTGACCAAGAGGGTGTGCTTCTGTCCATGGAATCTACAGTAACAAAAACAATTAAGGAATAAATACAGGGTATCAAAGAGACAAACATTTTTCTTATAAATAACACAATTCCTTGTTAGTTGTTAGTTTGTTCTGTTACAACAAAAACAAAAAATTCCGTAGTAGTCAACTAACCATTTGAGGTGAATCTTCCTGGAAGTCCATGCTCTGAGCTTCTGGCCACAGAAGGATTGCTAGTGATAACTGGGTGCTGTCTTGAATCAAAAAGTGGCGGAGAAGGGGCGTGGTAGGAAGCTGAAGAGAAGATTAAGAACACGGTTAGAAACCTGGATAGAAACCTGATTAGTTAATTATTTGCCTACTCCGTTGGTCAAATAAAGCCTATCTGAAAAGGTTTAAATTAAACTTTGGTTATCAACTCAGGTTTTCGCAATCAAGATCTTCACGGGGGAACGGGCTTGTTAAAATAACACTCCAAAGATTACGGATAAGAGATAAATAAGGATTCAAAATAATTCAAAGATTGTTCAATTACCTTGAGACGATGCGGGGGCGAGTGCGTTATCGATGTCATCAGATGTCAAATTTGGGAGAGGAGCTAAAAGAAAATAAGAAATGATTGATAAGTACTTTGTAAACCAAAGTTACAAAATATATTTTTGCCACAGAAAAGAGCAAAAAGTAATAAAACTATTTAGTGCCTTGCGTGCATGTTTCATGGAGTTAGTCTATGTATCCATTTTCAAACGCACGCCTATGGCCAAATAGGATTTAAAAAATAATCTAATTGACGATCTTCCACCCACAGCGCAAAATCTAAGTGCTTTCATTGAACATGATAGAAGTATCGAGACTAAATTCATTCAAGGGACTGTACCCTGTGGTCTCTTAATAGTCTTTTTTTCTATTGTTTTTTTTTTTTCAAACTGATTTAGGACCGCAAAAGAAGCAACTGTTAGTGAGGCATTCACTTACTTTTTCTCAACACACACAGATGTGCCATCAAAATATCTCCATTGTATGCTGGAGCTAGCTTCATGAAACCTTCTCTTGTCAACTTGCAAAGTTCCTTGCCATCCATGTTAAACCTTTCAGAATCGATGTCTTTAAGACTAAATTCTTTGATTGCCCACTGTATCCACTGCCGTACATGTTCTTTAGTCCAGCACAGAGGGTCTTAAAGAAGGAAAAATAAAGAAATAAAGATTTAGCGCTATAATCCCACCAATTCGGCGCTAGATAGTAAACAACAGGCATATTCTAAAGCGCATTTCTAACATTCGCTCAATCCCTCGAGTAGCGGTTTCTTTTATGAGGTTTCATCCTTTAAATCTTTAAGATAATTCCCAATTGATAATTCTTTGCCGGCAAACTCATGCTTAAGGCCTATATTAGGAATGTTTGTAATTTTTTTTTCAGCGATAAACAAAAATGGTAAAAGGCAAGCTTTCCCTGAGAGAAGAAAAGAACCTTTCAGTGAGAATATAATTAACTCCAAATTTTCAAAACACATCTTTCGGCCTAAATACCCATGGTTAAGTAAAAAAAGACATCCCAAATCTCTCAGCAGGAAAGTTCCGTTTATTCTCAAAATTAGGCCCTCTATATTTGCCTCTTCCGGTTGATGCTGATCTTGAACATTATCTCTGAATAGTTGAAATTCAAGTTTTGTTTCGAAAGCCAAAAGATTTCATAACCCATTTCGTGCCTGAAGCCTTATCGCTTAAATTACGATGTTCTGTGGTTGCCTGATTTCCAGTCACACACGCCAGGTCGGGTCATTAAGACACATAACAGGGGTGCGGTTTATTTAGCAGCAAATAGTTCCCAGAAACCCAAAGGTAGAGAGTTGTGGGTGAAATACGAGCCGAGGCATGTTTCAGCCGATCTATCAATGACACACGATCTCTGGGTGTGTCGTAGTGTCGAGAGCTCTCAGACAAAATTTGACATCTTGAATGTGCTTAAACTCACCAGCTGGCACGATGACTCGCTTCTCGTGCGATAAATTTTGTGGGAGAGGGGAGGGCGAGTTTCTCTCGGCGAAGTCGTTGTTTGGTACATAAGGTCTTTTAGCGAGTGGCTCGTCCAGTTCAGCCTCTAAAGGTCGCTTTTTGTTGAAGTAATTGCCATCGCTTTTGTGCGCTGGTTTCAGCGGCTTGTAGGGGTCATTGAATGAGGAATCAAAGAGCGATTGATCATCTGAAATCAACTCCTAAAAAGATGAAAGCACAGAGATATATAATGAACACAAGCATCAAATGATTCATAGATTTACGAACAAAACCAGCGCCGCCGAAAAAAAAGTTATTACCAGACTAGAATGGTAGAGATAAACAATGATGAAAGCTGTTTTTATTAAAAAGTGTTGTTCATTGTGCATATGGTGAGAATGTTTAGTCCTTTTTCCTAACTTACGTTTTGTTGTGAAAAGGATTCAGACTGGCTGATACTACAAGAATTTTAATTCTTGTTTCATCATAATGCTAACGGAACAATGCCGTCTTCTCAACCGCAACAACTCCTTCGTCATCCTAAGTTTTGAAAGCGCTAGTCGGTTTTCTCAATCTTCAATTCACGCAAAATTAAAACACGCTCCTAACCTAAGACATACCATACAAAAATCTTTCGAACGCGAGGCTCGGTATTAACAATTTGGCGAATCGGAAAGTCAAGTCCTACCAAGCCACATTAAGCAAGACATTAACACATTTAAAGCAAACAATTAGTGCGGCATTCCTTCACACGGAGCAGAGATTTACGGTGAACTGAACTATTTCATGTTTTCAAAGATATTGCTAAACTTCAGCAGTCCTTTAATATCATACCAAATAATAAAAATATGGAAAAAATATCCGAAATGCAAACTTTCCGCCTACCGGTAAAAACTTAAACAAAAGTTTTCACACCTCACGTTAGAATCGAATAGGGCACCAGTGATGCAAGATATAATTAGTTAAGTCATACCAAAGGAGCGTTAACCAACCTGGGCATACACTGATGGGTCGGGTACAACGTTGTGTTCACTGCTTAGTCCGTACATGGTGTTTTGAATCTAAAACAACAACAAATGCGCACAGAGAAAAATTAGGTAAATCATGCATCAAAGTTAACTGAATCACAAATAACCAAAGAATGCTACAGTGATCCAGTGATTTAATTTCAAGTTCTAATGCTTCAATTCAGTCAGTTCGAAGTAATACTCACCGTGTGTATCTTAGTAGTGATTTGAAGAGGAATTTAAAGTCTTTGGCAACAAGACGAGTCGATCGTTAAAAATCGCGAGTATCGGAATGTATAAAATAAATCCTTCGAAGCTGGCTGGCTCGAAGAACTTGATAAAAAAAATTTAGAGCACCTCCACAGATCGTCAGTTGTAAGTTTTATAGATGTTCCGGTGAAGGCGATGATTTGAAACAAACCAATATCCGTTCGAAAATTCAACTCTCTACGGTAAAGCCTGAGCTCTATTCAAGTTTTAATTCAACTGACGTTCCAGTGCCGTGGCGCTCAGCTTTATACATCAAGTGTCTAAATTGTGCGAGAAGAGGTGGGCCTCACATTGACAGGTTAACGATAGGTGGTAAATGTTTGTGACACAACAGGCCAATCAGCGCGCGGGCACTTGAAAAACAATCAATCCCTGGAGTGTTCCTTTCACGCCTACGCAGACACACCTAAATGACGTAAGCAAGGGGTCGTAACCTCTTGTCTCATTCTCTTCTTACGATTATCAAATGGACAATATCGAGATTGTCACTGCCATCCAATCACGTCCGCATTTCTCGATAAAGCCTCAGCCTGTGTAAGAAAAGATAAACACCGGCATCATATGATCCCAACCCAAATTTGTAAAGGTAAACTCTCTATCGCCACAAAGCAAACTCTTCGCATAAAAACAGCGTTCAACGCACCAAGAGTGCGATTTACACGAATATTCTATCCTCGTAATTTTCTCCAGAAGTTTTCTACTATGAAAGATGAGCTAAAGACAAATTAAATTTGCTATTTGATCTAAAACTTGATGATCAAGAAAGCTCTCAAGGGATTGTAACAGAATATGAAGAACAAATAAGCCTTTGAAAGGGTCAAATGTGTAATCTGACAATCGGGTTATTATCTAAGCGTGCGATGGCAAAAATATAATTATTTTCTTACGTTGTAGACTGGGTATTCCGAAACAAATGAGACTAGGAAATGTAATTGGGATTTTAGAGCGTCACTTGAGACAATAATCAGGCACATGATGAGGCACGAGAGTACGTGGTAGAATGTGCTGTGCCGTACTCTTTAATCTTACACGTCACGGAGGCTTGTTATTTGTCCTTTCAAAATACCTTTCATTTGCTAATCAAGCTTTTGTGTTTATGCTCCCATGGGACAGGGTGTGTCGCTTTAACAATTTACCGCCAAATTACTCTCAATGAATGAAATCTATTGCGCTTGGCTGATTTCGTGATTAATGCCGCCGCGAAATTTATGATTCGATTTTTTGGCGCGCAACCTAACTAAACATGCTCACCTCAAGCTACGGAGTTAGATAATTCTACTTGATAAGTGAGTGACATGTAAGTCTTTCTTACACACATTTCTTATCCGCTCTTTATTCACACACCTCTTTTTAAATTTGAGCAATAGTGTACGTGTTATGATGAATTTTTTTTTTTTTTACTTTCTGGGTTTATGTTGAAAAACCTCTTGCGACCAAAACGGAAAGGCAATTTATTTTGAGAACATGGAACCCAAATACTAATCTGCTGGAAGAATCAAACACAAAGAGAGGTCGTGTTATTTTGAAAGAAAAAAATAACCAAATTAAAGATTGTGTTGTTTTGCCAAGAATGCAAACGACGTTATTGATAATGTTAACTCGTCTGTGACATGTCCACTGACCGTGATTCCGGGCACACAGTCTATATGAATTTCAAAGTTGTTATTGGAAGGGTTTCGAGGAAATGGTAAATAGTACTCTTCTTGGGTCTTTTAAATTAATTTCCCGTTTCGGTTTGTTTATCCTAAAGCTCAGAAATAGGACATTACGAGCAGAAAGCTACGGATAAAACGCCCTCTTGAGTTGTAACAGTATTGCCGAACGTGCAGTTGCGCAGCCACGAATATTCGCGAAAGGTCAGGAGATTTCTATAGAAATATAACTCGGCTATTACGTGAAAATGACAGAGCTCTATAGAGATCACGTACGCTTGCAAACGTCGAACGCTACTCTGCTGATTCACTGATACTTCTTGATCTTTCTAGAGTTTTCGAATATCACGAACGATCCTATCAGTTGAGGGAAATAAATTAAAACATTCGAACAAGCGGTAAGATGGCGGAGTAGAGTAAGGAAATGATTGAGTCGACTTTTTTCCTTTGACTTTTGCTATGTCTTAACAGGGCTATTAATCACGAACAATGGTGGAATTAGAAACCAATGCGTATAATTCAAGATCACTAATATTTCCGTTGGAAAATTGCGAATGATCAACTCAGAAGTAATTTTGTTCTATTGTTCACCACAGAGCGTTGGTGTTGCGTGCATTTGGGTCGTAATACAACCTTCCTTTTCGGAATTTCTTTTTGTTTTACCTTGACGTGAAGTCGTTTTTCATTCTTTTACTGATGAGGTGGAAAAAGTTTCGGCCGCCAAACCACACTGGCAATGTTGTGCAAAACTTTGCATATATACACTATAACTGAGGGCATGTTTTTTTGACCTCGTGCAGTGCAATCGCCAGCTGAACAGAGAACGGGCAAATTTCCGCCGTTACATTAAATTTTGATCAAGTCGCACTAATAAATTTAAGCTATTAACGTCGCTGGTCGATTTGAATCATGACGTAAAATTAAAGGAACACAAATCTTTCTTTACCAAATTTCTTGGAATAAAGGAATTCAAAACACATAACAAACCGCGTTGAAAATTTAGATTACTTCTTTGTTGTTTTCTCTCTCCACATCTGTGGCTTTTCGACGTCAAATCAGTCAAAACACTTATCGGTTTACAGAAAACCACGTGCGGAAATTATAACGGAATAACGAAGAAATACTAATTCAATTGCAATTCTATCTGTTCCACTGCTACGAGAGGGCTCCCACTAAATTTTTCAGTTCGATGAGTTTCAATCGCGTATCTCCGTCTAAACGACAATGATATACGTAAAGGAAAATAATAAAAAAAAAGAGCATACATTTTAGATATCAGCACTGGTGGTTCTGTCACCCCGTTTCAATGAAATTGGCTGAATTTCAAACTTTGATAAACAGAACATCAAGTTTCCAGTAAACAAGCGCCAATGGCAACACGTTATCACACAGTCAGTGAGTCAGTCATTCATATTGTTTGTAAAGAAATATTCAAGGTCAAATTGATACGGAGTTATTTTCAAAATTATTAGCGTTATTTGTTCTCACTCGGGTATGAAAACACATATAGTATGGTTAAGCAGAACTAGCCGGAGGCAAAAAAGGATTCTTATAATTGCTAGGAATTGAGTGTCCGAGTAAAACAGTTTTCGGTCTTCATTTACTCCTGTTTTGTTTTTTTTTTCTGTTCATTTCTTTAGTTTTTTCTTCCAAGCTGTTTCCCTTTTATTTCAGTTCACTGCCAGTTAAATACAGTATGAATAAAAAAGCCTCTTCAAATGGAATGTAGAGATAGACTTTGCACTTGGAATTTAAAACTTACGTACAAAAGTTTAAAAAATGTGAATGAAAAAAAGTAAAGGATGCTTGCCTTTCTCATTTCGGAGGATTTGTGGAAGCCCAATACAGATAGAAAAAGAAATATTTTCTTCCTAAAGCGTGACAAGTTCTATTTCCAGGCGGAAGAGAGCCGGTACGGATAAAAATAGATATCCTAAAAATTGCATTTCGAAGAATTCCTTCGACAGAAATATTGATGAAATCGAGATTTCGCAGTTAACACTGAAAATGGTGGAAAATACCAGTAGTAGAGTGGAAGATCAAACCGAAAATCGTTCGCACATCATTCCCACAGATTTAACGCCGAATGAACCGAACAAACATATCAGTTTTTAAATTTTTTCCTTTCCTGAAGCTTTTTCGCGTAAGAGGCAGGGAACAAAAGGAAAAAGCTCCTCAGACGACCTTAAGCTCACGGTGTTGCCTCAATGGCGCGCGAGGCACTACGTGCTACAACCGGAAAACAATCTTCAACTTGTCGGGATAATCTGCTTCGGTCACTAGGGACAGAGCTGAAGACAAAACGAAACATTTACAAAGGGCTGAGTTGAAACGGAACAGCACGCCCTCTCCAAAGTTTCCGCCAACGGAATCCTATACCTAGTGGAAAGATTGAGTTTTTGAAATTTGTGTGATCTTTTGCTTGAGTTTAAGAGATTACCGTGCCTTTTTCTCAAACGGGAAACTTCTGTTTCTCTGAGAATTCTTTCGCCAGCAATATTCAATAATTTTACTCTGTGACAAAATGATTGAATGACAAGTCTAGATAAGAAAAAGTCGACAGAAAAGGAAATTGTATTGGAAATAAACCAACATAAGATTGACGAATGCTATTCTCTCCTAGTTTTTCCAAAAAAATCACAAGGCCTTCCGGCGACTTTGCGTTTGATATTTAAACGATATTTGAGTCTACTCCTACGACTGAAACGTCAAAGACAGAAGAGGCTTTTTATTCATCCAGAAAAAATTCAAATATGAACAAAAGAAAATAGGAAATCTTACAAATTACGTAGTACCTTTGAATAGTAATACACTTGAAACGAGGAATAGAAAAGGAGACAAACTAATTTTCAAAATAGAATGTTAAAAAAATTGCAACGTAAGAGATAATTGAACTCAGCCGGAATGCGGTCTTTCTGAATTTGAAACCTATCGATTGTTTCGTTACGAAATTGAAAATGTTACAATTACCTAAAAATATCTAGCTGCGAAATGAAAAGAACTCGGTGATAAGATGAACAACGAAGGAAAATGTTTCAAATTTGTTTTTTATTTGTTTATTTATGGAGGAACCGCAGCCACTTCTCCTAACATCCTGCAGTAACAAGAAAAATGTTACGTAACATAATTTTCAAAATTTTTGATGAAGATTCGCAGAAGTTTAGGTTTCTGAATATATTACAAATCCCTTAGTATTGAAAAGCAATACTGTACGAATAATAAAAAAGAAAGAAAAAAACACTGCGGAAATATTGGAAAACAAGGGGCCTTCCGTTTTGTGCTGTATCAAATACGATATTGCTGTACAATATCCAGTTGAGGGGCAAATATATTGAGCAGTATTGAAATATAGAAGGACAGCAATTCAAACTTCCTTTTTTTAATAAATCAAAAACGTCCTATTCAAATTAAGACAGCTAAGATTACAGAAGAGACAATTTATCCGTAAATATCAAGAGAAAACACAGTAACGACATGAGTGGATTGACGGCAGCGTATACTTCCAGTTATTGTACGGTGATCAGCTTGCTATAATTACAGGTCTTACGCCATATCGGTTTCTGAACTCTGGAGCTACGGTTTTTTTTCCCTAGTTATTTTTTACGCCTTAGAAACTCTAAAAACTTTCCTTAAAATGAACGAACGCAACCTTTAAAGGATTCACTTAAGCAGCAGGTTCATTTGACACTGTTTGCCACATCGAGCCTTAACAAAACGAAATTTGGTGCAAGTCTCACGAGGTCGTTTTTTAACCATAGCGAAAGGTGGAGGCATTGAACTGTACAGGGTGTTTGTTCAGCAAACACATTGCTTTTGACGCTTGAGGATTTCAGCTTGTTATCGAAACGTAATCAAAACCCCCACTAACATTGGAACTAATTAGCAGTGATTTTATGCGAGGAATTTTAATAGAAGGCAATGATATGACTGCAAATTGTAATAAAGACAGAACGGAGACACAGTGGAGCCAACTCCGGAAGTGGTTATAAATCCGCTGATTTAAGAAATTGTAAACAACGTTTTATCCTAAAGGCGAAAAAAAATAGAAATGAGAGACAAAGACGAGGGGGGCAAAAGTCGCTCGAGGCTCCACTTCTTTAGTTAACACTGAACTATCGCAGAAGAAAGTCCAGCGATAAAACGAAATACAAAAACTTTCGTTCTTCTCTTCAAAAGAAGTTTTGGTCGTCATTCGCAGTGTATATTGGAGACAAAGGAATTGTTTTGACAAAGAAAATAGAGCAAACTCTTAAATTAATCTACAATACTTTATGACTTAAAAGCGACTACGTGTAAACCTTGAATTCAATCTAGTCATGCTCAAAACTTGGCAATACGTGTGTATTGTAATACTGAGCGAGATTCACAGAAACATTAAGTACAAAAATTATTTTCAAAATCTCATGAACAGTCTACTATTCGGAAACTTTGAGACCTTAGGCAAAATGGTGGGTGATATCTGTTTCAAATTGCTTTCCAGCAGGGTCAGTGACATGTAGTTTGTCTCACTCCTTACTGATCGGGTTACTCATCAATTTCGGAGTTCCATCGAAATTTTGTGCACGCGCTTCATATTATCCTAGCACAAAGAGAGAAGAGTTATTACAAATTCTCGCCCACGTATAACTAAAAACACCAGTCGAATTTGTGTCGAGGTCGAGTGTGTATCGGCATATCCGATGCCGCGATATTTAACAAACACACAGATTGTAACAATGAAGACCAAGTATATTACAAGCCTTTAAATCTATTACAAGCTTCCCGAAAGGAATTTCAAGACACGTCAGGGCTCCAACCTTTCTTCAACCGTGGCAAAAAAGACAGAAATTCATCGATAAAAAATGTGCTGACTCAATATATAAAACCATTACACAGTTAACCAAAAGTATTTATCCAGTATCTCTGTAGAGATAAGTCGGAATGTATGGTGTGATTTCTCAAGATATCACACCTGGTTTTGTTGATCGCAAAATGATATACAGCTATCAAAACATCACATGACTACAGCGAACTATTCTACTTCCAAACACGGCTTATCCCTAGCTCAAACCATTGGGTCTCCTCGAAAGTAATCAACAGGGCTCTTTCACTGTCATATTGACCTTTCCAATCTCTTCTATTCTTTGCTGCATTCCACCGAGGCCGCACCCTAAACAAACCACAAACTCAATTGGCTAGAGAACTGACCCGTACTCTTTGGATAACAAAGATTTACTAAAAATAAATTTTGGAGTGTTTTGAATCCTCGTTTTGGCAGTCAAACATCATTCATCGCCGTTTGACGTTGATGAGTGCCATATTTCTAGGATTTCGAGCGGAACGAGAGATGTTAGAGACCCCATGTTTTCACAAGGCCTAGTTTGGGTCATTAGAGCTGCCTTTGTTTTTGAATTCCAAGTGTAAAAGACAAAAAAAAAACGTGCTGTTTACGCTTTACCATGGATTGATTCGATTCTGTTCTGGAGGGTATTATTTTCTAGGGAACCGCGACGAAGAAGGTTTAATTTGTTATGAATGAAACGCCTGGGGCGAAAAAAAATCTGGCGGAAAGTCATTTGGAATGAATAAAAAGATGGCTCTATTAATATTACTTTACAGCGATTCGCGATGAAGCGGGGAGTTAGGACGTTCGCTTGTATTTTCTGTAAAGAGCACAACGAGACCTTCTACTCTAATTGATCGAGAGAAAAAAAAACCAGGCAGGCAAAATCGGTTTTTCAAGTCGAGATGCAATATAATGAGAACACATAAAGCGCTGTAACTACACGCATGACCGCTTTTGCTGAAGACGAGATTTCACAATACTTGCATCACAACTCTTACAGCTACTGAACAGAGACTAATTCATCTCGGTCAAGAATCCAGCCACCCACTTACTGGTTAAGAACCCGTTCATTAATCATGGTTCCTTTCAAGCCACACTTATCTAGAGTAGACATTACCATTAACTTCACCACTAATACCTTTGGTGCCATAAAGTATCCAAAAGTACCTCTTGCAAAGATATCGAAATGAAACCCTTAACAGAAGAATATTTGCGTTCAGGCACCAAACGCAGTTCTGCTTGGTTTTAAAACGAAACGTGACCTTCTGAGAAAAATTGGCCAAAAGTGACGGGTGGCAATTAACACTTGGGATTATATTCGACAGGAAAACAGGTTGTTTTCATTACCACAAATCATGGCTAAAACCCGTAAAATAAATCAAGTTAGAAAAGAGAAAACCCCATTGACAATCGACTAAATTAGCAAAGTTTATCACTTAGTCACCTTTAACCGTCGTGGTTTTCGGCATTTTAAATCTCAGAAAGGCCAAATCTGCCAGAAACGAACAAAAATAAATACACTAACACGCAATTGGAGGGAATCTCAAAATAATTTATTGAACCATCTTTGGACTGTGTTGATTACCAAACAAAACTGACAAGAGGCAAGAATTCGCGACAGTTTTGCGACTAAGACGTTCACTGAGTTGTGGCGGGAATTTGAGGGGTCTACTGTAGGCGTACACTTTTTCCCGCCTTGGGTGTTTACGCGTTTGCGATGGCGCCTTTTTTTTTCATCGATTGAAATTAAGAAAATTATACAGCTACATACTTAAATATCGTGTAAGACCTTTTCTCGAAGAAGTTGTAGGAGCTAGTTGTTCTTTTAGTACTTTCGCGCATCGATCAACTTATTTACACCTTTCAGATTAATATCTACTTCGACGATGTGGTCGTTTTAAATAACGGTCTAGAGTTTCTGAAAATACTCTTAAAAGGTGGGACCAATATTTCATGAAAAAAACGCTATCAGCCCCTTTCAGTCAACAGCTTACTGTGAGAACAAAGATCTCAAAGTGGTTGTCCACGTTTACAGGGTTGAAATGAATGGATTCTATAGAACACCAGACATTTGAAGAGGAAACCACACGTTTGCAACAAACGCAGCGAAATATCACCAATCAAACGTGCTAACCTTTTAACCATAACGACTACCCCGAAGAATTGAAACAATCGCAAGGAACTCACGCCCACCTCTAGATCATTTTACACGAGAAAAGGGTCGTGGGTGGATAACTCTAACGACCAACGTGATTTGTTTTTTATTGAAAACGAAAGAACTTTTCACCCTCTATTGTTGCGTGACGGACACACAAATATTACCAAGCAGAGGAAAACAGCTTATATTGTTCACTAAAGAAAAGGAATATTCATCTATGAGTCCATATTGCCAGATTAATATGCAGCACACGATTGACAAACAAATCAAAAGAAAAGAGGGTGGATTTCGAAACAGCATCGGTAACAATATAATTTTTTTTTCTTATGTGTAACAACAGTGTGGACGTGCTCGATCAAAAAAAACTAGAGTTTAGTTGACGAGTGTTTTCGTTGACCGCGGAAACTTGAAACAGTTATTGATAAACATCGACAATGCCACTTGAGTAATAGAATCGAAGTAAAAGTTTCATTTATCCTAATTTCTTATCACTGACCAGACTTTTTTCCACAATTAAATTCAACTACAAGATTATCTTTCCAATCAAGGAAAGTGTGTCCATTTCTAAGTGTCTAATTTCCTGTGTTTTTCTCGTTTAGTTTCAAACTAGCGGAACTCGACGAATTTTTTTTAACTGTTCTCCTTCTTTCATGCGAAAATTTCTTCAAATAATAAAAATCCCACCCTTGAAGAGACGTGAGGTCTGTCTAACCGCAGGAAATTCTAGGTTGTTTCAAAGTTAGCGTGATTCCCTCAAGAATTGAGCAAGAGAAAACCAGATTAAGTATGACGCAATTTGACAACCACGTGAAATTATAATCTCCCAGGTCGACTCCAAAATTGAACCTGTTTTGTCTGTTTATTGAAAAAATGCACTGTAATTCCTAGACGTGCATCTTCTGACACAAGGTTATTTCAAAAGGGGCTTCGCGACTTAGTAAAAGGTGTAATAAAATCCAATTTAAATAAATGTTTTTGTTCTTGACAACAAATTCGTAGCGATAGTTCTTTAACTTGACCTTGTTGATTACGTAAATCTTCTTGGCACAAGACAAGCTCAGTACACAAAAAAATTGAATGTTTCGTGACTTTTGCGCAATGAGGAAAAAGCAGACGAATGCAAGATTTTAACCAACAACTTCTAGGTAATTTTCTTCAAATCATCTATACCCTCTTGAAATACCACATAACATACAAAATATTCTAATAAAAACGGTTCAGAATACTCAGGACGAGAAACTTAGCTTTTAATCTTTGCTCAATTCAAAATTAGATACCTTAAATTAAAAAAGGTCACCGCCCGCGCTAAGAAAAACACACGATCAACGTATGAAAGTTAAATTAAATTTATTAGATTGCAAATTTAATACAAAAACCGCACAGTTATGCCAAATACAAATTTGGAAGTAGAAACAAAACAGTTTCACGCCTTTCTCTACTACTTTATGATGGAGGTTAAACTAATTCGGACAATAATACACACAGTGTCATTTTACCTCTGCCAAATTTTGGTATTCAAATGTTATTCAGAGCAACTTTTCACCAAATTCGAGACTTCTGTCTCTGAATTCGAGTTCGTGATAAATTGTCGGACCACGTTTAATCATGGCCTTTGTGATGAGCCTACTGAGGAGTATAGAGTCAGAGGGGGTAAATCATTCGAGCGCGAAGCGAGGATTTGGAGGAGGGGGGCGGGGGAGGAGTTTCGAGTCCGTTGATCACCGCACCGCACATCGCGCTTCTAGTAATTTCTCTTCTCGCCAGTTTAAACTTAGGCTACGTCATTTACAAAAATCCACACACACACACACCACACAAAATCATACAAAGAAAGCGATAAGCTGTTGTAATAACTCACTTAGAGTAACTACATTTATCCGCAACGCGAATACGTGAGAAACTCCGCAAATACTCAATTGGAAAGGAAAAGTCCAGAAGCGTAACAATTCTCTATTTTTGAACATTGTACCTTCGCGTTGGAAGTTTATTACTCACATGCTGTCGAGTTTTTGATCATTTTATCTTCTCGAAACTAGTGCGGCGTGAAAGAAAAAGTTTGATTATAAGTTATAAAGAATATCTGAATGTTATAACGGGAAAGGATAGTAACCTTTTCCAAAGCGTTTCCATTTACAACTTAAATTCAAAGCAGGATCAGATTTATAACTATAAAACTTCACCGTGATCGAGTATTTTATTTGTACGCTTGGGAATGGAAGGTGCGACCGGTCTCATGAATTTTTCTTAACAGGAACCGGCTTTTTTGCGATTCCGAAGGTAATAGTAAAGATTGAGCTTTAGACTGCAATATTGAAAGGAGCATTTCTCGAGGTTTAAGAACTTACAGGAGATGAGTCACAATGATTAAGAGTTTTTTTCGTCCCTGAAACTCGTTGCTTATAGAAGGGAATCTTTAAATGATACCTCGCAGGTGTAGTCAAACTCAGTGGAGAAAGGAAAAACTAAACGGGAACAACGATGGTCGAGGATGGAAAATATTAAAACGGGTTGGAAATTTAAGGCTTGAAATTACACATATACAACTGAGTTCTCTGTTCAAAAAGTAACAGTAACCTCCTCAGAGACTATACTGCTCTTACTTTCCAGTTGGTGAGCTTAGGGAAGAGTACACTAGGTTATTTACTATGTTCCGCAATAAGAGGAAAAACAAATATTAAAACTAAGATAAAAAACGTGGGTACTTCTGCGAGAAAATAGACAGCTCGCGCCGTCGCAGTATAAATAACTTTAGTAAAATCGTTAGCATGAAAGATTAGAAAGGGAAATCATGGGAGAGGATTTTATAACCGAGTTGCACATGCACCATAAGTTTCGTTAAGAACCAAATAGCGTTATTCATTTAATTTAATTTCTTAAAATAATCACTTTTGCGCCAGAGTTCAAGTGGTGGTCAGTTGCTTTCAGTTGGGCCGCTAATTATAACTTATGGTGTTTCATAAGAACACTTGCACTTAATTACTCCAATTACAGTTAGACACTCGAGTAAATTGGCTGGAGGAGGTTGAGCCCAGGTTCAAGAGAAAGAGTTGAAAGACAATTTGAATCAGTAGCAGCCACGAATATCTTTCATTATTTTCAAATGACCCCGTCGCTCAAGGGAGTAAGCTATAATCAACACACCTTCTTAAAATCGTCACGTACAGCGAGGGAAAAGTATTCAATATGTTAATACGATTTTGCAAAAAAAGAGAATAAAACTTTAACCCACATATTGTACTTTGCCACATTCTTTTCATAGTTTTAATGATCAAAAACAAACACTGGTTGCTCCTAAAACTGAGACTACGATTTCCTGTAATATGACGAGTTCCTTTATTTAGATCAACCTTTTGGATCGCAAACAACCAGCCATCTGTTAAAAATTAAAGGTCTTTCCTCATTGAAGACTCCTCTCACTGTAACGCGGGGCTACATTCTGTCAATAAAGTGTTTTCTCATCGAAAACAAGTAGTGACAAGGAATCGGTTGTGCTTTGTTAAGTGATTACTAAGAAAGGAATGCTTTGTTTTGAAAATTATCAGTCCGCACTTCCTTTCGTTTCAAGGGCACCTACCAGATTCCCTTCTGACGACATTACAAAGGAATTTGAGTCGTATCATTTGAAACCGAAAATAGCTCTCCATACGCAAAAACCCATGTAACTGTTTTAGAATTTGAAAGTTCCTGTCCTGCTTTCGAATTTACAACCAAAAGAAATCGTGTCCTTTTGCCAACTATGACAACTGGTCAAACAGGATCAAAGATCCTTTTTTTTTAGTTTTTTTTTGGCAGAGTGAGAAAAATTATCAATGAGTGGTGAAAATAAGCAGTTAGGTAAATTCGATATAATAAAATCTTATTAAGTAAAGGCCTTTTTTTTTGTTATTTCTATCATTTCTTAGGAAACAACGGGCGAAAAAACCACAAGGAAAATTCTTATAGGTTTCCATTCCCTACCCCTGACTCTGTTCTGTCACGTCACTCCTAACGAGTTGTAACTCAATTCGTTTCAGCATTCGAAAGGTCGGAAATGAAGTAAATCTTTTGCGCAGAGGGCGTTAAAAATGCTGACACAACACGCAAGAAATAATCCTTTCCGTCGTCAAGCAACAACCAAGCAAAACAAACAAGCTCCAGGGAGAAAATACATTTTTCCTGTCAATGGAGCTGAGGAAATGATTCAGCAACAACGAGAATCCGTTTACAACAACCTAGGTAAATAAACGACCACTTGAACTGCTGAAAAAACCGCTTACTGCGTATTGGTAAAATGTGTACTGTTATAAAATACCATTACACTACACATTCCTAAATGACAAAAACCGTCTTCCGGTTCAAGCTTTTGTCGACCACTTGCGCGCATTTAACTTTAAAACGAATTCAACTACTCAACTAAATATCTAAGAGATAGTTGATAAAGCAAGAGGAAAACCACCTCCAATAAAATCTGTTTTTGAACTGTAATTTTTGCATTCGGTAAACAACTAGATTAGACTAGGATAGACAGGAGAGAACAGTGTTTTACCTTAACCGTGTGCAAGCGAGCGAAATTCCGCCGAAGAAACGCATTCCGCCAGATAATCGTATTCTCGGTAGATAAAACTTAACACCGTAAACTAATCGCGACTCTTCGTTATTTTATCTTCTAACTACTGACAACAACAAAAACATTTGCCTCTAACCCAGCGAACGTTTCAAGTGCTGTGTATCCGCCCTCTTTCATTGACATGGTAGAAAAAGTCGCAGTACTGTAAACATTTTACTGAACTTTGATACAATGGGGACATCGTTTTCAAACATCTTGGTTGGGATAACACATAACAAAAAGATATTTTCAAGGACTTATTTTTCTAATTTGCGAGTATGAGGCAAACAAATCACTTTGCAAAGACCAATAGATTTCGGTCTGTGTGTTATAAAACAACCCGAGTTTCATTTCTTCCAAGGAAACCCTCAAGGAGAGGGATCGTTTTATTCAAAAACTTAGCCCAGGTTGACCGAACTATGACAGTAACGAGGCAATAAAATTGATCGCCTGTCCCCATATACCGTCGGCTTACTTGTGGTTCTTCGGAGGAAACGCACCATGAGACTTTCATGAATAGTTCTGTTGTGGCCCTTTTTTTCCCTTGTTTATTTTATATTTAGAGCGCCGTTCTAGACTTAAACATGAGCTTGACCTTTAAAGATGACAAATCCGGAGAGTTTGTTTGATAAAATATCCGCTCGTATGCGGTAAGATAACTCCCTTTGAGTGTAATGCGGTCTTTCAATTTGGTTTAATAAGTCTCTGGGAATCGAATCATATCAATCCCTAGTAATACATTTGGCATGTTGTTAAAACGGGACTCGTCCCCTTAACTTCAAAGTTTCTCTGCCAAAGAGGCCGAAATACGTCACATTACTGTAACGAGTTACGAATTCAGTAAAACAGCTGTTTCTCAGAAAACAGAGGAAAATTCGACGGGCAGCAGCCTGTACCCAACCGAAAGATCATGAGATCAGATAGGAGGAATACGATTGTTGACACAAGCTTAACTAACATTTGCGTGTAAGAAGCAATATTTGTCGTGGAAACAGATGTCAAAAGACTTCAAACCTTTTTTGGCTTGTGGTCAAATGTTCACGGAAGTTTTCATTTCAAAGTAAGATTGCCGCCCCACCCAAAAATAATATCAAGATCGTAGGTTACACTCTGAACTGGACTGAATTCTCTGGAAAAAGAGACAGAAATCTTCCTTCTCTAATCTAGAGTACGAATGGTCGTCAAAATCCAGCTCCGAGAGAAATGCAATATTTAAATGTTCTGAAATATAAAAACGATGATAGACAGGTCTTTTAACGGTTAAGGGGTGAAAAGTCTGGTTGAGATGAACTACGTTCGCATGGGTAATCATTTGATTTCACTTGCGCCACTCCGTACGGCAATGCTATGACAAAAATTCATTCGCGGCTTGAGAAGTGGTTGTAAGCTACACGCATAAGTCGTACAGGGTTGATCTGCAAGGGACGATAAATAACTTGGAAACAAGCTTGCAAGTAAAAATAAATTACCCTTCTCGTGAGTCACCCCGATCTTTCTAGTAAACATCCTGCCGCGCAAACAAATGTTGTTATTCGTTTAGTCACGAACGTGCGACCCCAAAAAAACAAAAACAAAAAAACAATCTAAGTACCCCACGAGCAGAAAAAAAACCTAATTCCCCCAAAGAGGAATGGAACCTCTGACTTCGGATTTCATGATCTGGTGCTTTTCCACTAACAGGGTAATGTAGTATTATCAACTGAGTTGATAACGTAAATTAGCCACCGTAAAGAGTTTCAAAGCTGAAGTTTCAAGCGTTAGCCCTAGCCTTTCGCTCTGACGAAGGGCTAACGCTCGAAACGTCAGCTTTGAAACTCTTTACGGAGGCCAATTTACGTTATAATCTCAATGGATAATACTAAATTACCCAGTTATACTCTCCCACTGAAGCAGCACCACAGTTTCTATAGAAATTTACCCCCTTTATTCACCTGCTCTTCCACAAAGTTGGCACATAGGTGGCGTAGAAAGCTACGCTATATTAGTTCCATATGTGACAAGCTCTCTGCTTACTGATTACTGGGATCAGACAAGTCTAGGCTAGAGAACTCTATGAGCAGTCAAAACTTTCTGATCATATCAATTAATTTCTACCGAAATCTTGCCTACTACTCTGACAAATTTTCTAAAATAATTCTACGAAGGTAAGAAAAACTTAACAAATAAATTGTCAGTCGTTTCCTCTGGCCTGCTTCTTTCCTCTTGTTATCGTAAGCGCCCATAAAGAAAAGCCAATTGTAAGGTTGGAAGGTCGGGATTTTTGAGAATTGCCTTTGTGCAAAAGTTGATTCTTCTTAAGAATTGCTTTTTCAGCGGAGAGTTGAAGCTCATATTGGCTACAGTTTTAACATTATAGTTAGAAGATACTCCAAGCGCTACGAGTCTGATAAGATCGTTTCTAGTTTGCTCTACTTTTTTCGTTTAATCATTTAACCCTAAGAATGATTGGCTGCTAGTTTCTCCTAACAGTGTCACCCTTAACTCAAATATAAAGGTCATGAGAATATAAATATTGATGCTAGAGTGTGAAGGGTTTAGAAGCAAAGCCTTATTTAGCAGAAGTTGATCAACGTTATATCTTGTTTGCAGCATCAGAGCAGGAGCCAAAAGCAACTGGCTACCAATCACAGCGAACGATGCGATTCCACATTATAGACATTCATCCTTAGCTCAAAAATTAACCGTTCTTTAAAATGAAAAAAAAAGTGCACCCTACATAGAAAGCAAAATACATGAAAGAGGAACGTCGCTTCTAACCATGGAATGCAACTAATAATTTTGACTTGGGGGTTTAAAAACGCTCTAGATATGAAGTACGTCAACTAAAATAAGGTGTGTTATTTAATCTTCTTTATCTTAACCAGATTGAGCCTAAGAGCGACCCTGTTCTGAGGCATTTTGTAATAATTTACGCATTTTGCACAACGGACAAGCCACGTAATAAGGGCTGCAGGATTTTGTGCTGTTTTTCTTTATCTAAACTGGCTCGAGATCGGGAACGACCCTCTATTGCGAGTTTCTTGGTGGCGATGATGACAATACCTCAAGTATTCAACCAAAGAAAAAGATCAACCGACAGTTTCTGAAGTTAACTTAGAAGAAAACTAGCAACACAATTTTGTTCGCATCTTGATCTCAAAATCATTGCTTCTGGAGTACTTTTTGCCAAAGAAGTGCGCGCTAGAATTTTATGACGATAAAATTTCTTTACGTGACAAAAGATGAAGTTTTCGTACTTTGATAACTTAGCCGTTTCTACCAGACCTGCCCTCAAAATTTGTACACCCTAAAACTCCTCCGATCAAAAAGGATGAAATCCTTGAATACGTTCGACTGTGACGAGTTTCAAGTTCAAACCTTAGGAGATACAATTTCACTCACGATGTTCTACATTCTACTCTCCTTTATTACAATCATTTACAAGCTCTTTCCTTCACACAAGAAGGTAAACAGATGTATGGACGTTTTGTCCCATCTTACTACATTCATGTACCTCTCCAAAGTTACTTCTCTGTCCTCTTCGTAGACTCGATTTCCTCTATTTTGACGGATTCAGCCTCCGATTCTGCCGAGAAGGAACTCAGTTCGGTGGAAGACCGCGGGCTCATTTCCCAAAAAGCGTTTAGTAATCGGACCTAGTCTCTTCGATTTTAAAAATTTTTTGATTTTCTCAAATCAAGTTTTGTCCATCGAGTTCTTTGCCTTCGTAATGCCAAATAAGCTGCTTCGGCCAGTTTGCCGAATGGGTGAAAAACACCGGTCGTGTAATAAAGGCTACACACCAATATTGAAAGCTATCGCAAACCTTACGGAGTCACAGTAGATTGACAAAGTTTTTCTTTACATATACCATATAGGATGCTACTTTGGAGGCGAGTCCGGAATCCCGGTTCCTGGAAAACTGTTCCCAAACAGAGGCGAAGTGGGAGGTAGGACAAACGATGCTTGGCCGGCGGCAGTCGGTGAGAGTGGCATGCCCGACAGAGAGGTCGGAAAGGCGGATCGAGTGGGCGAAGACATCAGTGGATTCATCCCTGAGTGCATACAGAAGTATGGCTGACCATCAAAATTTTCCCAAGTGCTCATAATTTTCTTTGGGATAGTAAACTTTCAGGAGGACACACATTCCCCGCAATATCCAAGCCCTATTCAAGCGATTTGCCTAATTCAATTTACCATTAAACGGTAAAGAGACTTAAGAAATGGTTGCTCCTCACCATAGGCCCCTTCATTCTACGCGACAACTCTAACTCGGTAATCCTCATCCATCGTCATCATGAACTCGAGAATTCAAGACGACAAATTAGTAGACTAAATCAAACGACCGCGACACTAGTGCAGTGTTACAAGGCCCTTGGGGAAGTACTTCTTAGTGATAGGTTAATGAGGATGCGCCGCTGGATGAGACCGCACTTGGATTGACTATAATGGGGTTGCATTTTCAATAGGGTTATTAAGAATTTTTCGGAATTTTTGGAGGTAAGATAATTCTGGTAAGCGGGGATTTAAAAGAGGAAGATTCGCGGCTACCAAAGCAATGATTCCAATTATAGGGTTGAAGGGAAATCTCTCTAAAAAGGATTCATATGAACTGCGATGCTTCATTAACTCAACTACGAGTTTGAGAAGACTGAGCAAGTTGGATGTGGACGAGACATAGCCTCTCCATTGAGAGTTCTTTTCTGTCTCCTTGCACCAGTACTATTTTCCCAATTTTCTTATCTGCGTTGATGAAATTTCTTGATACACAAGTGCTTCCTTTCCCCCAACTCCCAAATAATACAAAAGACAAATGATGGCAAAAGTGCCTAGTTTTTCCTGCCAGGATCACCCAAAATGTGATATGGCGTCGTTCATGCCTATTGAGAAATACTTTGGAAGACTTGTTCGAGTGTACTTGATGTTAATTACAATCGAACGGAAGACAAACGGGCAGTAAGAACTGTGCAAAGCTCAAATCGCGGCGAAACAAACTCGTGTTATAATCCTGTCTTCTTTTTTCAGAAGTATAAAAGAATTTCTGCCACCCTGACGAGCAAAACTGTGATAGGACTTCACCAGAAACTTTGAAGATGCGGTATCCCATTTACGTTAGAGGGGGGAAAGGGGATTAACGTTTACCGCTCTGAGCTTCAGCCATAAACATTTTCAAAGCTAAGAAACCTACCTGGATCCATTTCGGTGTCATGCTCTAAGCCATCAAGCTGTGTGCTTGGACTAGGACTACAGAGTCCTGGGGACGAGAGAGGAGTGATGGTGGACGCCAGAGTCAGCGGTCCCATGTCTGGATCTACAAGATACAACACATCAACTTGTAACCACGCCTTTTTAAAGGCCACGGCTCTCTGCCCACGCACGAAGTAAAAAGGGTTTGTGACCTCTTCGGCATGTAGGTATGCAGAGTATGACATTATTTATCCCTACCCAGTTCCCGGATGGGATGCCATTTCAAAGCTATTTAAGCCCACCACTGCTGATGGTGTAATAGGCGGCTGTGTCCGGAAAGGGGGCCGTAAGGCACACGAGAGCCTTCTCATAGGCAGAACAGACGCCGATAGACCGCCGGTAGCCTGCCTTTATTGAAACTCCTGGGCTGTAATCAGGAGCAATTACTTATTGGTCCTTCCAAGCGATGGAAGGGCTAATATCTATAAATAATCATCATAGCTCCGTCTACCTAGACTTACCAATCATATTTCTCACCTTTAAACATTTCTTCGTCGTGGTCAATTGGCTGACTCATCGTTTGATTCATTGCCCGGTCTATGGGCTGTTCCATCGCAGAAGAGGGATGAAACGTGGTCATTCCTGCTGGCATAGGATCGTCTTCGTGCAAGCTGGCGATGGAATCGTCCTCAACACCGGAGGGGATTCCCTGAAGGACACCTGATGGATCCGGAGTAGATGAAGAAGAAGCCTTTCCCGCTGGAAGGGAGAAAACCAGAGGCAAAAGTAAAAAGATGCTTAAATAAATAAATTAACACTTACATGCTACAAACCATGCACATTTTTTCTATAAATGTTCCAAAATAATGTTGTCAGTTTAAGAGGAACTATTACTGGTAAGATCACATGGCCTGAGCACAACATTGGTTGTTCAGAGTTTGCCCTAAAACTAATCAGATCGCTCTTACGAAAACATCAACAAAAACAACAGCAATATACTTGCTGGGGTTATTTAGGTACAATCAACAACATATCAAATATTTCGCCCAGTAATCAAGAAAATCCCTAGACTTCTCCACAGTTAAGATCGGAAGTCGAACCACATTTTTTCCAAGAATTCAACACTTTCAAAACTCCTGGGTGTTCTTGGGTAAAACAAACAAACAAACAAACAATAAAAAAAAAGCAAAAATAAAAAGAAAAATAAAACACCGATACACCAAAGAAAAGACAGAGAACGAAAATTCAATAAATTTTCGCTTACCTTGTTTACTTTGCGGTTTTGGTAATTCAAACTTCACCCACTGGTACTTCGTACATTTTCGCGCACCGGGCAAGCTTTGAATCAAATACTGAATGGTTGGGTGAGAGAAACCGAAAAACTCTGGACCCGAGCCTGTATTAGAAGCGTCCCTACCCCTGCCGGGAGAAAAAATGTCGTAGGTGAGGCAAAAACATTTCAAATTAAACGAGCTACACTGTAAGTGACATAAGACGCAAGAAATCTTTAAGTAGCAGAGAGCAAGTTCTCAGATTTCTAACGCAACCTTCTCCTTTAACTTTCAGGATGAAAAAATCAACAGCTTTCCACAGTCACATGTACCTGGCCTTATTGACCGCCTTCAGCACCACGCAGTGGCAAGCTGTGGCTGAAGAGGCTACGATTGGGTGGTCTGGATCATCTTCAGGACACATCTCAAACTGGAGGCAAATAGAACGAAGCAAAACTATGAGAAAAGTGGGATCATTTTGAGTATCTGAGCAATTGCAGGCCTACCCCTCCCCTTACCCAACAGCAACAACTGATAATAAGATAACAGAATTGGGTTACGAGAGGAGTAGGAACACAGTTGCCCACATACTGACATTGATCTGATACATGCAACACAAACTACAGGTGTGTAAACATGACGGCTTTGGATTTTCAATAACGTTTCGAAAGTAGTTAAATAAAGACATCTTAAGTGTTTACGTGTATAAATAAATCACTTACTTAGTACTTACTTCCAGTCTGGGGGCCGGGGATACCGATCTGAGGGACCGGTCCAGGGAATTTCCTCATTATTGCTATCTTTGGTTTCACAGTCAGCAAAATAGCTATAATAGTTTGAATAGGATGAGCGAAAGTCGCGTTGAATGTAAATTGGGCATACCTGCGGTCCGAATCCCCCATCCAGAATCTTGCAGGTGTAAATGCACTTCTTCTCTGGATTACGCATACTCGGATACGTTCTAGAACTGCAATAGCCCACGGGCCAAATATATCGTTCAGAGTGGAAACCAGGCCGGTCATAAACAATCTGTAAAGCAACGAAAGTTGTCACAAATTTAAGATAAAATTAAGAACAGTGCCACTCACGTGCCGCACATTATCTAACTTGATGAGAAAGATTATTAATTTTGAGCTTGGTCCTTAAATTAACCCGTAGGGTAATTTTTGCTGGGTATCTGCCGCTGGCCTCTTAGAACTCCATCCCCACTAAAGTCTATTCTGTAGCCAGACCCCACCTTGGTCTCTTTTGGTAATACGGTAACAACTTTTATAAACGCGAATCTTTCCATTCTTAAATCCATACTTAGCAGAATTTTCTTGCCGAGCAAGATCCCTAAAATTTGTGCGACCCCATTCTAATAACTCTATTGACGAAGCAACCCCATTATGGTCAATCCAACATGCGACCCTATCCACTGGCGAATCCCTAATAGCCTTGGAAGTATCCTTACGGATAATTCTTTTATTTCGGACATCTCAGGGGGGTCTATCCATTACCAATCCTGTGTCGTGAATTTTGCTCACGCAAAGACTGAATTTTCCTCAAAGAAAAGGATTCATCAAGGAATATAACCCTAGTGGGGCAGCTCAGTCCCAGTCCCTGACATAGAAAGTACAGAGATGTTTCATATGACTTACCTCGCCAAGACTGTGAACTGTGAGACCCCCAAGTACAATGGGGAAAATGGGTTTGCCTGAGTAAAGAGAGATAAAAAGGCCTGAGTACAAACATTTGAAACTTGATCGATATTCTGCACTGACATTGTTCATTTGTAAACACGTTTTCTTTTTGGTTCATTTGTTGTTGTTGCTTTTGTAGGGGACTTTTTACCTTTTGCATCCACTGCAATGGGCTGCACCTTCCTCTTGATGGCAGTGCCTGGCTTCTTTCTCTTAGGCTTCACAGGAGGAGTACCTTGATTGGCTGTCGTTGCGGCTACAGTGAAAGATAAAATATGTGAACCTTATTCTCAAACTGGGTAATGCTGATAATACTTAATTACCTTGTTATACTCTCCCACCGACGAAGCACCGCAGTTTCTTTAGAAACCTACCACCTTTATTCTCTATCAATCTGAGATCTCATTATTTCTCAGATTACAGCAAGACTAACAGGCACATCAAATGTATGTTGTTTTATGGTACGTGGGTAGTATCCATGTAGCGAACAGCAATTATCTTGGGCACATAATCAAAACTGTCATTCGTATAGTGTGATCGTTCTGATCTCGTGAATCGTACAACCCTACAATATCTGCGTCAACACAGCAGTCAAAGTCTCCGCATGAGCGAACGTTGTAATGACTAGATGGCGTGCTTTCACGCCGTCAGAACAAAGTTGTCTGACAAGAGTTACAAACAACCACACAAGCCAGTAAGACATGGTGCTTTAAAAAGCGTTTAACTTTTCTGTTAGAGCTCAAAACAAAATGGTAAATCGACAGAAAACCCGTACTTGAAAAAGCTTTGTGTTCCATAAGTCTCAAGCTTTCCTTCTCCTTAGACTTTTCTTTCCTTCTGCAGATATCTAGATGCGTTTTAATTTTTGTTCGTTCATTTAGTGAGAGCGCGGTTACTTAATATGTTTTCCTTTGAAATTTTGGGCGGGAAAGTGGCTCGCAGCCGGCCAGAAGTGATCCCCTCACGCATGCGCAGCGTTTGACCGCTGTGTTGATTAACACCCACCTTTTGATGATACTGCAGCAGAAGTAATAGCATTTGCAGCGCTAGGTGCGGAGTTCTCAGGTTGTGCTTTAGGCTTCTTTGGTTTAGCAGGCTTTTTCTTTTCTTGTCTCGCCGGCTTCTCCTTCTCTTTCAATCCGTCCTTACCTGTTAAAGAGGGGCAAACAATATTCATCTCCAAACCAAATTTTCTTTAAGTGTACCTGTCCCCGGTCTAACCATTTAGCACGAAAAGTATGGCCCCTCTTCCCAGGGGGCATAAGTAAGGGAAAATTCTGGGGTATCCGTATGTCCCCCCTTGCATTTGAGAGATGGTTTCATACTCTAAGTTTACAATCTTATTAAGGAGGCAAAGGAACGCGAACTCCCGCCCCCTCTTTGGTAAATCCTTGCAACGCCCCTATCTCCCAACATTAGCTGTGATAAATCAGACAAGACAAACCTGCACCCTCTGTAGCAGCCTTCTCAGCTTTTGTTGCCTTTCCTCCAGAAGACTTGGGTTCTTTCTCTGCCTTTGGTTTCACTGCGGTCTTCTTGGCCTTCACTTTTGGTGGCTTGGCCTTTTCCGCGACAAAAGGAGGGTACATCATCGGCGGTAACATGTCCGGAGAGAAGGGAGGGTACGGTGCAGCTTGGAACATCCCTGCCTCAGCAGCGGCTTGATACTGAAACAACCTCTTGAGAATGAACCTTTGAGAAAATGAATAAATAAGTGCGGAAATGAGTTGTAGATGCAATCAGGGCTGGTGACTACTTTGCATTCCTGTATTTCGTCTAGATATGTTTGTTTGGTTGCGATATTCAGAAGGGCTGGCCCAATTCAGCTTTAAATCTGGTTTAAATGGGGTCTGTATAAACAATAACAGGGCCAGTCTACAACACCAGGAGTTACATGTACATTCCCAGGAGTTAACATGTACATTCCCCACTCTTTGCGAGAAGTGCGTGGGTTCTTCCCCAGCTAACCAGTACAGAGGTGACGCAGGAGACGGGGCTTATGGATTATCGTCCTTTTCCGAGAAAATAGAATGTCTAACAATTTTCGGATGAAGTAGCAAAAGCAGCAAGTTATCTTCAGTAACTTTAAGACCCTGAGTGTTGGTCTGGTCTGAGGCTGGAACCCTCGACCTTCCTTGCGGCACTGCGTCCAGCGCTCCACAACATGAGTAAATCAAGCGCAGTAAACGGTAGAACTTACAGAAACCTTTACAACATCATGCCCCCTTTTATTAAAAGTCTGGTTAGTTAAACAACCAGTCTTAAGCCTGTGTATCTTTAAACTTGGCAAGAACAATAACAAATTACTTTACACAGATAAGATTTACCTTCTCTCTGCTTTTGCTCTTTGAAACTTTACCTCAGTCCTTTGAACTTCATCACATAATGCTCCATTTTCCTACAAAAAATGTCATTGGAAATGGGACCATCAGTGGATTTTGACAACCCTGCTAGGGCAACGCATTCTCAGATAGCTTTCGATACTCAGTTCAA